TCCCTGCCCTAGGATTTGGGATATGTTCTTTTATTTTGTGTATTACTTTCACCCTCTGAAAATGCCTTAATTTAAAACAGTGCTTCCTGTAATAGGAAATGACACCATATGAGGTTATCTCATGATCATAATTTCCACATAGGTTTCCTTCTTCCACACCTCAATTGATAATATGTAGTATCCTTTATCCTGCATTTTTCATGCAATTGAAATAATTTTCAATGCAAATTTCATATAAAATTATTTGAAATGTTGTAATAATTTTTATGATACTTTTTGTATTTTTTAATAAATGAATTACTTTACTACTCTCCCTTTAAGAGACGTTTTTCTTATATAAATGGAGAGAAGCCATCTAAAGGTTCAGCAATATATTCAGGGTTGAACAGCCTACCAAATACATCCCTATTACGATAAATAGGTAGGTTCACTTGAATTGGGCACTTATTTTGTATTTCCTTTTCGTACTTGAGCTCAAGGAACTGATGATGAGGAAAATGGCTTTCAATTTCTTATGCTTTTAAAGTTACAGGAGCCTCTCAAAGAACAACATTGTGACCCTCTGTAGATATAATTACAAATTTGTTAATCTATAATGTGTTTTCAGAGAACTACAATGATAAATAAGAAACTCACTTGATTCAAATAGCCAAAGAAACTTTACTACATTAGTGTTTATAAACCATGGTCAGTAGCACTAAAATATCACTGTTTTCATGACAATATTGTCGTTCCTCTTTGAAGATGACACCACTGATAGTAATTTCTGTCTGTGTGCACACTGTAGCTGAAAAGATCTGTGTACAATCAATAGTTCTATTTAGTGTCTGCAGCAAGATACCTTTACATCTTAGAACTATGAAGCTTTTTCTCAAATTATAAGTAAATCTGTGTTTACATTAAAAGGTGACAGATCATGCTCAGACTAAGTCTATCTAAACTCAGAAGTGGTTATCTCTGCTGCAAACTTAAAATGTTCTTTTTAGAATATTACTTGTCTGATTTTGATATTAACATTTCATATTAGAGTAAGGGGAAAGTGTGTTTGTCAAACTGACCTAAAGAACCTTTTGGCTTGTTGTGTACCTTAGAATAATACAAGCACAGTCACACTGACAAGTATCTCCATCCTAATGATTTTCAAATTAAGGACTGGCTTCAAATTAGGAAAGCTTTTTGTTCACCTAGTTTTGGAATAGCATGATGTACGCTAATTGCTAACTTTGCCTGCATTATTTTTTAAAGATCAAATGGGCACAGTGGTAATTTTCATTAATCTCATACAGAGCAGCTAATTAAAATTTCCATTATTATCCATCCATTATCTAGTTGTTTCCTTTGTTCAGTATCAGAACAGGATGTTGATAATAAGTCATTCTTGTATTACAACCCTATTAAGTATAGTGAGAATTAGTTTAATCTTTTGCACTGTTTTGTTTTTAGGTGATTTCTTTAATATTATGTTGCACCATATTGATTATGCTGACGATACTTTGACACCTTGACATTTTGTAATAGAGATTTCAGAATTCAATACCTGTTGCTTTAACTTTTTATTCAATATTGAGAAAAAGCGGCATATAGTAGAGAAAGGAGTGACTCAAGGACAAGAATATTTGTGTTTTAGTCTTTTAACCTCACTAATTCTGTGAACTTGAGCAATCACTTGGATTCTTTATTTTTGTAATGAGGATATTAGAAGAGGTGATCTTCAAGGGCCAGTCCAGCCTTAATATGCTATCATGTTTTCATAATTTTCAAATATGAACTTATGTTAAAACCCCAAAGTTCTTCTAAGCTTGGTAAAAGACATTTTTGTTCTATAAAGTTATATATTTTCTGTCATGCTCCATTAGATCGTTTGCTTCCTTTTCTTATAACCACAGGGTATCCTAAATTACGTAATTTAAACTTGTCTCTAAGACTTGGGTGAATGTGAGCTACAAGGTGATGGGCCGACCCAGTTGTCCAGAAAGAGTATCTCAGCCATGACCATGTGTCCCAGTTAGGCTAAACCTATAGGGAGTCAGTGAGAAAAAGGGAACTAACATTCTCTGAGTAGCTTTCTCTGTGTCTATGAGGTGCCACATATGCAGTGCCTGTTTTAGGTACTTTATATGCACTGTCTTACTTAATCCTAATAACAAACCTGAGGTGTAGGTATGTATTACCTCTATGTCATGGGTGAGCAAACGGGTTTATAGAGATTAGTTAGTAGCCTGCCCAGATTACTGGAAGGTAAGGGACGGGGGCCATAATTCAAACCAGGTGGCAAAGTCTGAGCTGTCCTCAGCATGCCATACAGCAGGAGTCCCCAACCTATGGTGAGTTGTATAATTATTGCATTATATATTACAATGTAATAATAATAGAAATAAAGTGCACAATAAATGTAATACGCTTGAATCATTCCAAAACCATCTCCTCTCTACCCCCTCCCCCCGTACGTGGGAAAATTGTCTTCCATGAAAATGGTCCCTGGTGCCAAAAAGGTTGGGGACCGCTGCCATACAGTGTCTCAGTTTACCTGTTCTATACTCAGCATGTCTGCATATGTTGTAACTGAAAATCTCAGAACTGTAACAGTTTGAAGCAAAGCTGAACTAAGCTTCGACGCTTCAGCATGTTGAAACTCATCAGTCATTCACTCATTTGTTTATTCTTTATCCACCTACCCACCCACCTATCTGTTTATTCAGGAAGTACGTATTTAGTGCTTCCTTGGTGTCGAGCACTGTCTAAGATCAGAGGATGCAGTGGTGAACAAGACAGGCAAGGGTCCTGCCTAATGGAGCTCATATTATATTTTAGTGGGGAAAACATAGTAAACAACTAAATTACTAAAAAAGATAAACTTTCATAGAACTAATAGTATAAATGATGTTTAAAATGGTATTGTGATGATAACTAGCATGTGGAGGGGAGAAGACTACTGGGCTGAGACTTATACGACGGGAGCCAGCAATGGAAAGGTTGGGGTTCGAGTCTTCCAAGCAGAGAAAATAGCAAAATACAAAAGTCATTCAACAGGAATAAACTCCATATACAAACCTCTAGGGAGTGATCAATAGTGCTTTTTTATACATTAATTAAAAAAATAACTTGGAGGATTATATGAAAGTGGTATGTAACTGTAGACTTACAGAAGTTTAATTTCTTGTACTAGTAGTTATCAGACTGGTGCATGCAGTAAATAGAGCCATTGTTACTGTAGAACTTTGTATTATTGTAGAAAGTGAGTTGGGTGAGCAAAAATAAAAGTATGATTTTGAATTTTCAAAATTATGCTCTAAGTATTTACTTGTTATTCTTTGTAGAATAAAAGATATATACGTAAGTTATAGGAACGTGAACAGGATTTCATGGTGATGTTTTTACTTATGGCGCCATCTATGTGGTGATTTATCCAGTCTATTCTTGACAATTTACTGTATCTTGTAACAAAGCAAGAAAAAGAAAGTCAGTGGACATTATGCAAAATATGGGAGTTAAAAGTATGAAATTGTATTCTGTAATTGTTATGGACAAATTCAATAATAGCACACATTTGTTGAGGCTCACTAAATTCAGGTACTGTGTTAAGCCCTTAGCACACATGAAGTTCCCAGTGTAGAAGAGAAGCAGATGCAAATAATGTTCTCTACCACAATATTTTAAGTGCTGTAATAATGATAATATTGCCACAGTGCTAAGGGAATAGAGTTCCCCTACATGTTGTAAGCCTTTATCAGACTTTAAACATTTACTATTTAATGGATTTTTTTTAATTTAGAAATTAAGAATGATTTAGAATTTCTATATTGAGGAGGTATTCTCAATAAAAACCCAAATAGTATGAAACTCTGGGAATCCATTTCTCATTATTAACACATTTTTTTAAAATTCCATATCCTCTAATGATAATACTTCTATCCAATGGGGAAAAAGATTCCTTTCCTTATGATATCATTCATGATATCATATTTCCTGTATCATATCCTTATGATATCATATTTCCTTATACGTATCCTTAGATACTTAGCAGAAACTGAGTGTAATTTCTATGAACTTGAAAGATAGGACTCAAGCTAGAGTCTTTTTTTTTCTTTCAATAATTTTGGTATGAATCAAGCTAGTCTTAATTCAGGGGGATACATTTATAGTATAGGAAAGGGATAGTTACGATTAGGTGTGTCTAGAATGTGAAAGTATGAGTTATTAGTACAGTGAATGTGTTGACAATGTTTTCCTCTCAGCCTTTTCCCTGAACTACTTATATACTTATTGCAAGGTTGATGAAGCTAAGGAGCTGTGATGAGACAATGAGTTCTAGAAATAATCCATGTATATTGGAAATTAAGCTAAAAACTAGTGGCTATCAGATAAATGTATTTAATGACATTTTAAGATTAAACTACAACATGGGAGTAATAGGAAGGAATAGTTGGGAATTGGTGAATACTTTAGACTGATTTTATTAATTAACATGCTAATGGAAGACTATGTTGTTTTACAGTTCAATAACTATTTTCACTTGTTTTTAAAGATAGACTGATACTCTGATATTTTTCAATAGATTCGGGTTAGGTTTAATGTTTTATATTAAATTTTCTTTGCTGCATTTTGTGGAATTGAATATAAATATCTTAACGAGGAAAATTAATAAGATGATTTTTAAATACCCATCCTCTGAGTTAAGGAAGACCAACTAATGTTAATCCTAATGCCTGGACTGTAAATTTAAGTACCCCTGTCAATGACACTTTGTGCAATTCAAGTTCATATTCTATTCAGGTCATGAACAGCAGCAGTGTAATTTTCTTCTAAATGAAGGTGAAGAGAATGTTGAGATATACACAACACAATTTTACCGTGTCAATTCTGTGATCAAGAATTTTTGAGTGCCTAGCACTCTGCACACATTTTTATATAGTAAAATATATATTCTATGTATTATTTTACTTTGAAATTTTTTTAAAAAAATGTTGTTTGTCTAAAATGCTATCTTTTTTATTTTACAGGGTGGGCTGAAAAACAGCAAACATGAGTGCACCCTGTCTTCACAAGAATATGTTCATGAATTGCGATCTGGCATTTCAGATGAGAAACTTCTTAACTGCCTAGAATCCCTGAGGGTTTCTTTAACCAGCAATCCTGTCAGGTAGGTGGCTCTTATCATTTTGGTGTGATTCATGCAATTTGTAATATATATAATTGTTTGTAAATATAATCAATTATGTTATTTTAACCTTATTATGTGAGTAGAAGTCTGATATAAGTTAATAAAACAGCAATGTCTGTGAAGTTGTAAACATTTAAAAATATATTTAGTTAATTGGATCTCTAATAATGTGCAATTTTAAGAATACAAACATTATTATATAAAACCTCTTTGATCATATAAAACACAGAGCCAAAAGTTAAATAACCACATTTACCTGGAAATCTATTTGTGTATTCAGATAATTATTATATATTTATTTCTGAAACAAGTATATTGGCTCCATGATTTTATTCCTCTCAAACTTGAGAAGTTACAGCATTCAGAAATGAAGGGGGTCGGACTAATAAAAATGCATTTTTATAAACGTACCGGGAAAGGCTCGAAATTACTCGTGGGGCTTTTAAAAATGTAGCAACCGCTGGCACACCCCCAGAGACTTCTGGGATCAGGCGAGAGTCCGACAGGCCCTGATTGGCTAGAGGCAGTTGCAGTCTGGTAGCTCATTGGCTACACTGGTAGCGTGAAGCTGCTTGCGTCATTAAGCACGCGAGCATTCTGTGGTAGCCGGCAGTCGAGCTCAAAGCCAGTGTGTGGAGCTCCCTGACGAGAGCCGAACGCCACCTCCTTCTGTGCCTCAGCTATCCGTAAGATGAGTAAGAGTGGGTTCGGAAGCTATGGCAGCATGTCTGCTCAGGGTGGAGCTAGTGGAGGCAGTGACCAACCGTCTGAGGGAAGTGTAGCTCTAGTTACTAAATCCCCCAGACTCGGGGCCCGAATTCAGGAAATTATACCTTGTTGTGTAAACCAGCTGCTCACCTCTACTCTGGTTGACAACGTGTTCAAGATTAGGGGAGTTGTAGTTTCCCAGGTCTCCATTGTGGGGATAATCAGACGGGCAGAGAGGGCTCGAAACAGCATTCTTTACAAAATCGATGATATGACCTCGAAGCCAATCGAGGCCCGGCATTTGCTTGGCAGAGTTAAAGCCAAGCATACCACTCCGCTACCAGTCGGAGTATATGCTAAAGCGTTTGGCTTCCTTAAATATTCCATGGGAGCAAAGAGTCTCGAGGTATTGAAAATCCGTGTCTTGGAGGACATGAATGAGTTCACCGTACATATCCTGGAAACGGTCAATGCACACATGATGCTGGATAAAGCCCATCAGGAGACCGCTGGGGAAAGTGTGCCTTCGGCCCCATCGCAAATGGATGACGTCGGGGATTCTCACGAGAGTTGCCTCCGCCTCATCCGGAAGAAAGTGCTGCGTTTGATTCACGAGTGTCCTCAACAGGAAGGGAAGAGCATCCAGGAGCTCCAGACCCAGCTCAGCAGCCTGAACATCAAAGCCATCAAGGAAGCGATTAATTATTTGACCATTGAGGGCCACATCTATTCCACTGTGGATCAGGAGCACTTTCGAGCCACTGATTGAGGAAGCAAAAGCATCCTTTCATTTTCTGAAGGCCCTTGCCTCCAGCTGTGAGTAATTTTGACCTGTTGACTTTTAGGAAGTAGGACTTTTCAACAAAAAGTCTCAACTGGCATCCTTTGGCAACTCGCTGCTTTTCCAACTGCTTTGAACTGTTCTGTTTTTCTAACTATATTTGAAGCTCAGAGGGAGATGGCGATGGACAAATTGACTGGACTCTATAGCATTTACCATCAAAATAATGGAAACACTCTAGGATGGATGATTTTGGGGGAGAAAGACTACAGAAAAAGTCAAAATTTATTATTTAACTTCTTTTTAAAGAAGTGTGGGGGCTTCTTTTTCTGAAATACCTACATATTAGGAGAAACTAGTTGCAGTCAGGGAGCCAGCTAAGAGACAAAAACAAAAAAAATGTTAACTTGTTTTAACATTAGACTTATCTTCCATGTTTGGATTTAGCTTAGTATAGTCATATTGTTATCTCTTGCTAAATACAGTAATTGATTCAAATGTGCTAAAGATAGTAATTTACGAATTCAAATGCTCAAGCACTTCTTGTATGATTTCCTCTTATTACCACAGGTTTATGTTTTCTTAAAATTAAGATCACACTGTGTTTAAATAAATACTTCATTTTTGCAGGGTCATCTTTGAGTACTTTTCTTAAAATATGGTAAAGTTGAATGATTATTTCAAATATGATTTGATATTTGGATTAAATTACAATTTAGTTGCATGGTACCTCGATGCCAGACTTTCTGTAAGTTTGATGTGGTGGTGAATTGAGGCTGGCATATTTAGTAACACATTGTGTTTTATGTATAACAGGGTATTTCTTTTAGAGCTTAGGCAAACAAAAAGTCATAGGAATATGAAGCAGTAAGTTTAGCGGAAATTTATTCTAATGTTTTATTAAAATGGTTTTGCAGAATCTTTCCTGTGTGATTTTTTTTTCCTAAGTATATTTGAAAAAGGTAGCTGGGCCAGATGGCTCATGCCTGTAATCCTAGCACTCTGGGAGGCTGAGGTGGGAGGATTGCTTGAGCTCAGGAGTTTGAGACCAGCTCTGAGCAAGAACAAGATCCTGTCTCTACTAAAAAAATAGAAAAAATTAGCTGGGCATTGTGGCACACACCTGTAGTCCCAGCTACTTGGGAGGCTGAGGCAGGAGGATCGCTTGAGCCCAGGAGTTTGAGGTTGCTGTGAGCTAGGCTGACGCCACAGCACTCTAGCCCAGGCAAGAGAGTGTGACTCTGTCTCAAAAAAAAAAAAAAAGAAAAGAAAAAAAGCTTTCGTTTTATGTCCTTGAGAATTAAAAGTTTTAATTATCCAGCATAAATTTTTTCTTTTCTCTATATAATACTAACATGTTATATCATAGTTGTAATAATACATTTTAGTGTACATTATATTATGTGAGACCTTTAAATAATTGACCATTAAAGTAAGACCTCAGTTACACAGAGACTAAAGATGTTATCTTTCAATGTGCTAGTTTTTTTTTACTTTAGAGGAAAGAAAAAATACATATCTGTTTTTGAATGAGTATATTATATCCATTATATATTATATGTATGAATATTATATACATATTTAGTCAGGTAGAAGAGAAGAACATCATTTGTCTTAATTGGATTATGAAAACAGGGTGCAAAAAAACAGAAAATCCCTTAAGTGGACCATTGCCAGTAATCAATACTGTCAGGGAAACTATCAGAAAATGGCCTCTCTTTGCCAGCCCTTATGAAAACTTAATACCAATTATTGCTTAAGGTTTGTGAGGCATAAACTTTTCTTCCCCTGGAAAGCAAAGAAATTGTAAATGGCATTCTTGAAAAACACAAATGGATAGAGCATCATATAAACCTATGATTTAAATTATGACATTTTTGAAAATTCAAGTCTGCATAGTCCTAAAAAAATTCTGAAACACCATTGAGAAAGGTTACCTGTCCTGGGGAAAATCATACTGAGGAAAGGGTAATGTGGGGCATATTTCTTCCTCAGAATTGTTGTGCTAATAGAAATATTCTAGGACCGCTAGTGATCCCCAACCTTTTTGGCACCCAGGACTGGTTTCATGGAAGACAATTTTTCCATGGGGTTGTGGGGGAAGAGTGAGAGGTGGAGCTCAGGAGGTGATGGGGGGGGCAGCTGCTGTAAATACCCTTGATGCTCGCTCCCCTCACCTCCTGCTGCTCCCTTCTTGAGAACTTGTGAATATTAGTGTTTAAAAAAGCTTTTAGAAATCTGCAGAAATTTATTTAATTTTACTAATACAGAGTTTCTAAATATTTTTTATTTAAAAAAACCCTTTTATTCCTTGGAAATGGCTATAACCATTCCATAGTATAAACTACACCTTCTGTTTCTACCAGATTTAAACCCACCATAAGCCATAACATTTTGCTCTCTAACCACCTTCTATTTTCAAAAGGCTTGACCCTCAGAGAAACCAACAAATAAGCAACCAAACCAACATAGCAAACAACTAATTAGCCTTTCTACTGGAGAGAAACAAATAAGTAAATGAAAGCAGTGAAACAATAATAAAAGATCATAAATGGAGGAAACCAATACAAGGATAAATCCAAGAATGAGAATAATTTATGTAAGAAGGAAGTTACACAAAAAATAGAGAAAAATGGGCTGTAGATGGATAAATCACTTCTTTTTTTTTTATTTCAGCATATTATAGGGGTACAGATGTTTAGGTTATGTATGTTGCCCTTGCCCCCCCTCCCCCCAGATAAATCACTTCTAATGCATAGTGTCTTATGTAGCAGAAAAAGAATTCCTGAAAATCCTGAAATAAAACAGGAATCATGGAATATTATTGTTTTAGTTTCCTAGGGTTTGCATAACAATTACCACAAACTGGGTGGCTGAAAACAACAAAAATTTATTCTCTCACAGTTCAGGCAGTCAGAAGTCCGAAATTAAGATGATACCGGAGAACTCCCTCCAAAGGCTCTAGGGAAGGATTTTTCCCTGCCTCTTCCAGCTTCTGGCATTCATTGGCTTGTGGCAGCGTGATTCTGATCTCTCCCTCTGTAGTCATTTGGCCTTCTCTATGTCTCTGTGTCCTTCCATCTCTTATAAGGACATTCTAGTTGGATTTAGGGCCCATCCTAATCCAGTACTGTATAATGTTATCTCGAACCTTACCTTAATTATATCTACAAAGACCCTATTTTCAAATAAGGTCATATTCTGAGGTTCTGGGCAGATACTATTCAACCTACTACAATTATGCAAAGGAAAATTATCCACAAAACCATTGAAATAGCACAAATAAGCTAAATTCTGTCTAGGGAACACATAACTATTAATATTACACAATGTCTGAAAAATAAAATGTAGAATTATCATCATTAATGAAATGAAATTTTGTTGGCCCTGTTACCTTTATAAAGCAAAATTTTCTGTAGTACTAAATTCTGTTATGATAAAGTCACACTGGAATGCGAGTTATGAGATCTAATTTCTAATTTTTGATCACTCACTCTCTGTAGTGATCTTGGTTCAGTCAGTGGACCTCTTTGGGTCTCAGTTTCTTCATACGTAAATGATATAAATAAGATTGAAGCCTTCCAGTTCTAAACCTCTGTGTTCTATATTCTGTTTTGCTTAGTTTCAATCCTATTACCTTTGCTATTGGAACTGGAAGATTAGTGTTTTAGAAATTATTTTGGAGAGCGAGAAAAATGTTCCTCCATAAGGCTAGAAGATTTCCTAACATTCCATTATTTTCTTGTATTTATAAATATACTTACCCAACCCCAAATATTTATAATTTCTTTTAATTTTGAAGAAAAAAGTTTCTAAAACTCTGTTACATTACTATTTTTCAAACTTGCTGTTCATTAGAACCTGGACATTTGCCCTTTCATGGCCAATTTCCCTCCTTACCAGAGTTATAACTGGTTTCTAAAAAAATATTCTTTTTGTTCTTACCCTAGTAAAATACAAAATAGATAAGTGCACCCACATACATATACATACTAATAGCCTTACTAAACATTCTCAAAGCACGGTCATTTCGGAATATTAAATGAGAGTCATGAATTTCAAATTCATATGGTATTTAATCACTCAGATGATAAAGGCACTAAGAAAGTCATTTTATTATTTTCTGCTGAAGGCAAATATTTAAAAATGCCTTTTATAAACCATCATTAACTGGTCATATCCCAAATCGCTCCTTTACTATACCTTCCCTCAACGTTGATTTTTTACTGTATACGTTTACCTGTATCTGGTTATGCTCTATAATAGTTTCATGTATGTATGCCTGCCTTTCTCATTTAGGTTTTAGTCTTCTCTGGAGAAGAGACCCTCTTGCCCTCTTATTTGTTTCATGATGGCTGGTAAAGTGTGATTTTTATATACAATAATGTATGATTTGATGTGGGTATTGACCCACCATCAGTAACAACCTATGCTTTTCCAGCAGTGAAAATGAATTTGCATTAATCTGGCACTATTTTGTGGCCATGCATTTTTAGATGTAATCAGAAAAAGAATGACGTTAACTTCCTCCACATCGGAATGAAACCTGTTAATTTGATTTGAATTATATTCATAAGCTTGCAGACAACATAGCATGCTTTACACATTAGTCTTTTTTACAGTCACATGATGAATTAACAGAATTGAATGTTTACAACTCTTGTTTAACACCCTGAATATCCATGCGTTTTTAAAATAAATCCCAATCTTGCCATCACAAATTGCATTAGACTTTGCACATACCATGGTGTGTGTGATTTAGAATGAGAACTACGTTATTTACAGATTTTTATTTCTATTCCTTTTCTAAAGTTTATGAAAGAAAGCAGTGCCTGCTGAGAAATGACCAATGAGTTTGAACAATTTTATTCCCAGCCAACCCATTACAAGATGTATAGGTATTTGGCAATACATTTTATGAAGATCCAAAGAAATGTGCAGCAATAAATCATTGTCACTAAGGTTTCTTCTTAGCACATGACAAAAAC